ATTTGATCAGTACTTTTAAATAATCAATTGATTAACTGATTGATTATAAAATTACTTTAGATTCTTCTTAAGAGTTTAACTGCTACCCAGTGAATTTCTCATTTGATCTGTTTGTAGATATTTCCATAGTAGTTCTGGGTTGATCTGTTCTAAAGATGTAACACATTGATTTGTATAATTTTATTAAAAATTGAGAGTTAAAGTTAAAGATACCAAAGTTAAAGTTAAAGTGATTACACCTTATCTTTTAACGCGTTTTTAAGGCTGGCTTCTGGTTCTTCAGGCCCATGCATTGCTGTTGTGTATGAAGACAGATAACTAGCTTTTATAAAGGCTTTAGCAGAAGAATGCAAAGATCCTTTTTTTGTTTTTATAGTTTTTCATTAGAGTGTCAAATGGCAAAAAAAATAACGTAAATTCTGTAAGAGCTATAAAGTTGAATTATTAGTTTAACTTTTAAACCAAGTTTCCCTATTGGATCACTGAGATTCGAATGAATATTTTGCTTCGCTCTTTGCGGTTTTCTCTTCTTTTAAAGCTTGTCACTTTATTATTCATTGGCCAACTCTGCTAATGAAGTCAGAGCACCCAGTGTGTCCTCAACTGGCATGAGGTGTCAACACTGTCAACATTTTTTCTTCATTAAATTAATATACCAGGTTATTAATAATACATCATCAGCTACTTTGACTATTCATTTATTCATGGCTGCCCTTCATGTTTGTGTGTTTACAGATTAGACGCAGGAGACCCACACCTGCCACACTCTTCAGAGTAGCCGACCAATCCCCTGAGGACGATCAGTCTGCTCATCAGGTAAAGGAGAATTCTCCACCTTAGCTTTACTCTAGAGGGTTTTTTAGATCATCATCTATCCTTTACTTTTCCCCTTCCTTGTCAGTCAGATGATGCTGTGAACCTTTTGTTATATAACCCTGCTTATCCATACTGCATGATTATGATCAAAAACCCAAGATGTGATGTCATTATGTATGTCAGTAAATGTAATTTAAACTTTACAGACAATTCTGGACTTATAAACATTCTTTTTGAAATAAAAATGGAAAAGAAAAGGAAACAAAAAAAAAAGAATGCACAAGACTGAAAATTTATTTTCACAAACTTTGTTTTAGAAGACCTTTTTAAGAGTAGATATTAGAATACAGAAATTACATAGCGCTGCAAGGGCGTCACAGGTTTTTATCGACTGACTTTCATGGGGGAAAGTCCGGTTTGTGATTGGTGTAGCGATGAGTAATGATTTGTGCAGTCAGTCAACCAACTGTATGATTTAAAGGCGAGAAAAAGAATCAGAAATAATTTCAGATGAGAAGAGGAAGAAGGAAAGATATTTATATACTTATTAGTAATTTAAGGCATTTGTTTGCAGAGACACTATGTTTGTATGGGACGAATTTGCTGATAGACTTTATGTGAAGTATTGATTTAACACCTCCGGTTTTCCCTCACTGCCATCATTATTAGAAAAAAATAAATAAAAATACAGCAGCGCAGCATATCAACATCTGTGATTTATGATTGGCTAAAGGGAGTTCAGATTCAGTTCATCCGGGCAGTTCTGTGAGGGAAATCAGTCTTCTCTCTATTTTTTTGTGGAGACTGAATACTCAGGTCATCACAGCACCCAGAACACTGCTGTGGGTGAAACTGAATTAGAATATTTTTCTATGTTTTTATTTTATAGTTTCTGGTCGTGGAGTTTGCTTTATTTTGGTCAAACAATAGATGTAAAGTCTTTTCAGTTTATCAGGTTAGACTTTCCAATAAACTGCCGGCGCCTTAAGAGCTGATGCAGCAGTCAGCATTCATTCTGCAAATATGTCTGACCAGCTTTAGCCTTAGGTTCTAGACTTGTCCTCTGAGGGTTGGTTGCTGTTGGTGTAGTTCATGGATGCTGTTTTTGGTAGAAAAAGTAAAAACTGAACATGAAAAGCTTTGAGGTGGTTCAGAGCCAAGTATCAGCTGAAGACACGCCATATCAGAGAGCTGAACAAATACACATTTGGTCCTTTGGGAGATTTGGGTTCTTCCCAAACTCCTTCTACTTGAGTCGTACACTGACCCTAACCTGAAAAATTAGTACACCTATTCAACATCCAGGCTTCCTCAATTTCAAATGTGAATCGCCTAATTACTAGCTGAAGGTCATTGCATTAAGATGCTAATAGGACTACGTCTCCAGAAAGTAGGGATAAAGCCATGAACGGAGGAGGCAGAATGTTCCCCAGGCGCTGCTCACTGCTCCCTAAGGGATGGGTTAAATGCAGGTGGGAAATTTCCTTGTAACTCACAATCGCAATGACGAATAGATGAGAATAATTGCAGGTTGCAGGTTGAAAAACTTAATTTAACTTTGCTTTACAAACTTGGAATATTTATTTTAACAAAAATCATTTGCTAAGCCAAAGACAAACTAAGGACACCCTCCCCCCTAGTAGCTAGGATTGGTTTAGGGGATGATTTTGGAGAAAGTGTAAAAAAAAAAATCTGGGTTAATCTTCTTATCCCTTTCTTTACAGTGGGTCGTGGGGGAGAATGGCGTGCTTAAACCAAAACGTGTGCATCAGTATGTCTATCAACCACCATCGCTCAAAGGTTTGTACAACAGCGGTAATTCTGCAGGTGTTGGTTGTGTAAGCTGTGATTTATCCTTATGTTTATTTCCTTCTCTGTTTTACCTTGCTTCACTGCAGGTTTTGTCCTCCTAGGTTTTCCGTTATCTTCAAAAATGATAATATTATGCATCACCAGATGGCTTTCCAACTTTCCAACTATTTCTTTGCACACACCATTACGACTTCCTGCAAGAACGTCCTTTTAAAATGTACTAAAAACATAGTTTGGGTTTGTGGGGGACAGGGAGATACTAGAGAAACAGATTAGAGTGTGACAGCTGTGAGTCACTGAGTGTGAGTCTAGGAAAGTCAGGATCATCCAGGATTACGGTCAGTTTTTTTTTGTTTTGATTTTTTTTTACAGCTGTGGCACAAACACACACTGATATTAAATCATGCATGGCCACAATCCATGCAGGATTTCATTATGTCTTTGCTAAATGTAAGAAAAAAATAAGTGTTTTTCAGCATTGCTTCGTCCAAGATGCTTTAAATATATGTCTTGGGGTGTGCAGAGTGATGATATAATAAGTCAGGAAGGCTCGCTCCTGCACCAGAAATCTGCCCTTCGTCAGCACAGTGAGGGACACAGAGAGCGAACTCAGGAACATTTCTTGTTATGTAACCTTTCACAGTTAAGTAAAAAAGTGACCTTATTGCTGTGATCTGCAGCTGAGGGTGTGAAAGAATGCTAGAAAGAGCAGCAAAGGTGACCTGCAGGAACAGTAAGGAGTAGGTGAGATCGTATCACTGGATAAATGAGAGAGAAATGAATTGGAAAGCATGCTACTGAGCATGACAAGAAGTAGAAATATCTAGAAGTAGTTTTATTAAACAGACCAAAAAAAGTGCATGAAAAAGATTTTAAAAATTCAGTGTGGAGTCTTGTTTCTTGGCTATCACTCTACCATTTCTGTGCCTGTGCTTTCCGCCTGCCTGGCTCATACTTAGAATCCACTGTGGGGCTACTAACTGTTGAAGCGTGGTAAAACCAAATCACCGTATCCCTTTGTCCCCTTGTCTGTGTCCATGTGTTTGTGTGGTGGTCTCCCTGCGTGTCTGTGTGTAGCCGTGCAGAAGATGGCTGAAGCCCAAATGTGGAAACTAGGTGTCTATTCTTTGGAAGACCCTTGTGAAGGAGACGAGGATAAGGACCACGGGGAGGGAGAGGAGGGAGATGAGGCATCTCCCACCAAACCTGCCGGTGAGAGGGATGGTCTTTGTCAAAGACCTGCAGACAGCATCCAGTCTATGACAAAGACGACTCTGTTTACTTTTTAAAGACAAAAATATGCCTAAATACACATTTTGCTGCTGGTATGTTTTTCATGTATTTAAATAACCTTAGAAGCCAAAAAGAAAGAAAAAAACCTTTAAAAATAACCATTGAAAATTTCAATATTTTTTTTTTTCATTTAACTTTAGACAGTAAACACTTAAAGAATACACCTTATTTTGTTTCTAAATGTTTATTTACATTCCCAGCTGTGCAAGGTCCCAAATATTTTTATTTCTTAGAAAATTAAAATTGAATAGAATTATTACATTAAAAAATCTTTTCTTTAAAGAAAAAAGTTAAATATTATTAAAATGATCAAGTTTGTATATTGTTGAGTCACCCTTTTAATAAATTAAAACATTAAGTCATTGTAAAGGGTCTTTTATCATTACACATCTGGATGATCTTTCTATAGGATTGTGAGGACATCTCTCAACAAACCTCTTACAGTGACCCCTTCAGATTTTCTGACTGATTTATCTCCTATCTTTGAATCAGTAATTTGAACCTTTAATTTTCCTCTTTTAAAGTTATTCCTATTTAACATTTTATCCAGTATCCAGCTGGACAAACAGAGCAGATCCATCTGAGGAAGTCTATGAGCATGATGCTGCCACCACATGCTTCACTTTGCTTATGGAGTTCTTTTTTTATACACATCTCGTGTTAGAAAAAAAAAAAAAAAAACCTTGGAATTGTGGGCTAAGATTGAAGTTTGGTTTATCGGACTTTAACTCATCCTTCCATTCCATTTTGGGATATTTGACCTAGATCTGGGTGTATTATTCAAAGGAAAGGTCAACCATGTTCTGATGAACACTACTGCTACTTATCTGTACAGATATGAAGGATAAGCAAGAATTAGTTGTCAAATTTGGACCCTGTAAACCAGTGATTCCCAACCGGGGGTATGCGTACCCCTAGTGATCCATGAGTGCATTGCACGGGGTACAGGAAAATATTTGATTTCTTAGGTAGTAAAATAAAATAGGACTTGAATTTATTTTGCTTTCTGAGGACCCAATTTTTTCTTATATTTTTGAGTTCACCTTCAGCTTTGACAAACATCAAAACCAAGTAGAGGAGCTCCAAAAAAGTTAAAAAAAAAAATCCACTGGACTTTGTTTTCAATTTTGAAGATGTTTTGCTTCCCATCCAGGAAGCTTTTTTAATTCAAAATGTCAGAATTAGCGTTGAGTTTGAGGCTTTATAGAGTGGACCAAAAAAATAAAGCCTTGTTTTGGCTTAGTAAAAGTAAAGAACAGCCTGGGTTTAGCTGTTTTTCTCACTGAGCTATCGAAGATCATCAAAGTAACTCGGGTGTCTTCATGAAAACAAAGTAAAACTAATTAAGTCAATCTGACTATAATTTTTGTTCTGTATTTTATTTCCAATTCTTTAGGTTTAAATTTGATTATAAGTGAGATACTCAGAGGAGCTCCAGTTTTATACATATACATATAATCATTTTATTTTGTATTTATTTTGATTCCTTACTAACTTCCAGGGAACATATTGATGTTTTTTATTTGAGATGGAAAGAATAAAATGCATAAGAATTAAAAGCTCAAAAGAGTAAAAGAGTTTTTATTTCATAATCAGTTACTGTATGTTCCACTTTTGGACAATTATCAATAATATTGACCGAGAGGGAACTCATGGTAAGAAAACATGCCCAAAGCGGTACACAAGTCAAAAAAGGTTGGAAAACACTGCTGCAAATAGGAAAAACAAATCTGGTAAATAATACTATGTGGCTGACAAGCCCCCCCATTTGTATTTTACTGTATTTTTTCCTTCTTTCCAGCCTTCCTCCGTCTCGTTATAACTCTACCATATATTTCCTGCATTATTGAGTTATAAAATGACATTTGAACTCAAGGTTTAATCTCAAATTAAAACTGAAGTTTTATTTCAGTTATATCCACAATATTTTCTTCCTGTATTTCATTAACTCCATTTAAACCTGTCTTGACTAGTCACTAATTGAGATCTTGACCAGTCAAAGTTTAGCTTTATAAACCCTCTTTTATTTGCCCTCTAAGCTTTGTAGTTAAAGCGACATGTGAACCGCACCAATAGAGGAAGCCATCCTTGGAAGCAGAAAGGATAATCTTCACAGCAGGTCATGATCAGGCCTTGTTTTCTAAAATTAAATCTTTTAAACTGGCACAAAATAATACATATTTGATCTCTGAATATGGAGCCTGAGTTTACAGAGGCCTTTTTTTTTAATTGGACCTTGAACCTTTTTTTTTATATATATTTGGTTTGCTTTAGAATGAAAAATTCTATCTTTATAATCTTGGTTACATCAGAGCTAGATAGTAACATTTCATTCTGAATTATTGCTCTGTCTGGATAACAGACTGTAAATCCCTCTGTGTTTTGAAAGCCTGCTCAGACATTAAAAAAGAAATCCTTCAATGATTGGGATTTTTTTTTTTACACAATCTATTAGTTTAGATTAAAACATTTTGGTGTGTTGTTAATTTAAAAACGGAAGCATTTCATTTAAACACAAATTTAAGGAAACAGTTGCTTTGATATATAAATATTAACAATCTGTAAGGTTTGGCCTTTATTCTGAAATTCAAACATCTCAGTTTCAGATGGGTCTTTTATAACCCTCATAATAAATTCAATTCAATTCAGTTTATTTATATAGTGCCAATTCACAACCCTTTTGATCATACAGTCAAATTGATTCAAAGTTTTCTATCTGAGGAAAACCAGTTGATTGCATCGACTCATTGACACGAATGCAATCCCTCACACTAAGCATGCTTATAGCGACAGTGGAGAGAAAAAACTCCCTTTTAACAGGAAGAAACCTCCAGCAGAACCAGGCTCAGTGTGAGCGGCCATCTGCTGAGGCCGACTGGGGTTCAAGGAGACAGAAGCAGAGATACAAAAAGCAGCTGTAAAAGCAGCCCCGTCAAGGAAACACACAGCCAGGCAGAACTCTGAGCCAGCTCCAATGTCAGAGGATGAAGAGAGCACATCCAGCCAGTAACAGTCAGAGAAACAGGACTACACTGGAAAAACAGGCCGATCTCCAACATCTATAAACAAAGGTGTTGATGACAGCAGCACAGCTGATATTTCTCTCCAGGATGAAGTCACAGCCAAAAAGAAACAGACCAGACAAAGCTACTATGAGAAAAAGCAGAGAGAGCAGAACGTTAGAGATTGAACTAACAGATTCTTCAGAGTGGAAGAATAGAGATACTACCAAGGTTATTTTTGTCCTTGGAGGGTAACCATCTTCAGCTGAGTAAACTAGTTAAAGCCTACAGAAGAAACTTAGTGCTAAACCATGCATAAACACAAACTTTTTCTTGCCTTCTTTTCAAACATTTAAAGACCACCTTCATCCAAACCCATAATGAGTGCAGATCATTTAATCTCCAGTACATCAACAGACTCAAACATTGAGCCCAAATGCTGTACATGTAAAACTAACGGAGAAGCATGAAATATGTGGAGTGTGGGAATATAGACTTTTAAAGGTTATAGGATTTGATATGGTCCTTGAAGTGCACCAAGAAGCTTTGAGGAGGGAGACTGTCTGGTTATGAAAGAAGAGCTTTTCTCTGAAGTAACCATTGAGAGAGAATCGAACACTGGATTATATGCAGTGTTTGATCTGCCTAAATAGACCGATATAAACAGCGATAACCAAATAATTTAGGCTGCATTGGTATGCAGACTCGGGTATTCTGACTCTAATTAGCTTTATTTTGCATAGAAAAAAGCAAAGAAACCAAGAGGTGGCTCTAAACGGGGCAAGATAATACTTTGTCATAACAGAGACTAAGTTTTCTTGCAAACTCAAAAGGCTTAGAAGCTACTTCAACTTTTACCAGAGTATTTTCAAACTACAGTATCTTTACTTCTACTTAAGTAACAAATTTGTGTACTTTTGACACACTGGTAATGTCTCTATCAGTGTTATATTGCTTTAATAGATGTGTGGTCCAAGGGGAGGTAGGGCCTCCTTCTTGATACAAAGAAAAGGGAGTCTGGTTAATTTGTCTGTGTTAAACTGCCATGCTTTTCATCCGTCCCACGATTTTGGATGAATTCCTGCATTTTGATCATTTAGTGGGTCATCAGAAGTATTGACTGACCCAGGGTCGCATCTAGAAACCTTCATTAGATGTATCAGTGCAAAGGGGAAAAAAGGATGGAAATCTGGGCTGTTCAATAAAACTTTACTAATACAGTGGACCGCTAAGGACAATCTTACACATGATTATGTCAGTTCAGTTAAGCCAAAAACGTTTGATAGTTTGTATTCAATTGCTTTTCCTATCTTAAGTAATCCATGGTAAACACTGGATAAATATAAAAGGAGAAGGAAAAAATAGATTTTACTTCACTTTTTGATTTTTGTCTTGTCTCCTCAGATCATCAAGAGACAGGCACCACTGAACAGTTCTCCAGTGTGAAAGAGACAACCAACGAGAAAGAGACAGAACAGGAAGAAGAAGAAGACGAGGCAGATGAAGAAAAGAAAGAAGACAAGATTGAAAACAGTCGGGCGTGTAACTGAAAGGGAGAGCGGAGAGGATATTTTGGAGGGATGATTTGAGGGGAAAGCTAGTGTTATTGTATGGTTTATAATCTAAGGAATTTGTAGACTTGGAGAAATTGGTGGAGTCTCGTTATTGGAGAGAATGATAGAAAATTCCATGTGCACGTGATGAAGCAAAGCTTTTCGTACTACTTACCCTCTAAAGGGTCTGCTGGATTCAAAGTGAAAAATGAGCAGGTGGGGAATGATCTACTGACAGAGCATTACGCTGACGCCACTTTGGCCCTGCTGACCCGTTTTTATAATGAGAGTGGATGGGCTAAGGTCAGTGTGACCAAAAACTCTGCAAGCGGAGGTCCTCCCTTTGCTGTTTATGCTTCAGCTCAGAGCTAAACATTATTTTAAAGAGGCTAAAAGGTTAAACAGATAAAAATTCTTGGGTATGATTTAAACTTTAAGAGCCTTTTTTATGACCCCCTGTAAAATGACTTGGAAGGTTTTAAACATGTGTGGCATGTGTTCTGCTTCATTTTGAAATCAAGGCCTGCATTGTTCCAACCAGCCCTTTGTGTGTGCTGCCATCTTGTGGTGAAAAAGTAGCTTGACTAGGCTTTAAAGTCCAACTTAGCTCATTCTTTATTCTAATTGAGTTGTATTCAATGATGTTTTATTCTTACTTCTAACTTTAGAGCTTTAATCTCTACACCTCTTTGGCTTCAGACACTGAATTTATTTGCAAAATGTGATTTCTTTCTTACGACCGACTTTATCAAGATTATAACAAACCCCTTATTGTAGAAGAATGCTGGCTTTTTTTGTTCTATTTTTTATTTCTAATTAAACTGAATCATTCTCTAAAGCGTGCTTTTACCTAACGATTATTGGTTCAATGAGCGTACGTGTTGTTTCCTAATGTCTTTAACTTTATAAGATTTAAAATTTAAGATTAAAGGGCAATTCTACCTCCTGTTGAAAAGAAGAAAATACATCTACTGCCTCCGCACTGTAGTTACAATATCATTCACAGAAAGAAAGTTTAATTTCTTGTTTTTTTTTTTAAATTCATTGATATCACAAAGGTTTTTGTACATAAACTGTTTTGTAATTTATCGTTTGGATGGCTCCCACATAATTTTATGCTGTAAGTGCTATTTTTCTAGTCTGAAGTGAAGTTTATGAGCTCAGCTGCCTGTTCTTAAACATGGGAATATGCAGCATCATGCATCTAAAACAATACGTCGTGCTTTTCTTTTTTCTTTGTTAATCACTTAAACAATCTCTGTACACAAATGTTATATTGCTATTTTACGTTAAAATTAGTCTAATTCAAACCTGATGTAACCGGTGGCTGTAATGCATGGGAGGTTTCCAGATGTACCATAGGGTGATCGCTATGTGCCGTTTGTTCCATCCGAGCTGCTGTTTGTATATAAGACTCTAGATCATTTTTTAGCCTCCAACAAAACTGACTGGACGAACAGTAAGTTGTATGTGCAATCAACTCTTTGTTCTTTGTCACCTTCTTACCCTTATTGGCCCTAAACAAAACAAAAGACAGTGTATGAGACGGTGTATAATCATATTTTGCTTTCGTTGTCCTTTTTCTCTCTTGTTTTCCATGCTCTAGTTTCTTAATGTGATGTGGTTGTCTTAAAGTCAGCAACTTTATGATATCAAAATAAAGATTTTTTTTCTTCTGCATACCTTGAGTCTGGATTTGTTGTGGGTTCCTTGCTTGGGTTGTCAGTTAGACAGGACTTTGTATGGAACTAAATTGGGGCCAAATGTTTTTTTATTTGAAAAAAGAAGTTTTTATTTAAAAAAAATAGAGATTGAAATTTATAACGGAATGTTCTGTATGAAACTAGAAAAACAAAATAAAGTTTTTTCCATATTAAATAAAATATTGATTTAATTCTGGAAGTATTTTAAAGAAAAAAAAAGGTTTTTATCTTTCACTTTTCCATATTTTGATATCTGAGGACTGTTTTTTTTCACAGCTCAGTTTTTATCTTTTCTGAATTAAGGGGATTTATTTACAGCTTCTGTGAGGTTTGCAGACAGAGGCAGACACCTTGTGGACCTAAAATGGCCAGTGAGGCATTTTAAAGCAGAGAGGCAAGGGTTCCACTCTCTTCAATTGCAGCAGAAAACACCCCCCCCAAAAAAATGACACACCCATATTTAAAAAACCCAGATTTCTAAAGCATCAACCTGTACCATCTCTAAGGGGTGGAAACTTTGACAACATTTACATTTTCCGTTTTGGAAGTAGTTGACTAAATTTTACCTCTAGAACAGAGGTCTTCAACGTTTTCCAGGCCAAGGATCCCAAAACTAATGGCAAGATGGAGCGGCGACCCCCTAATTATATATATTGCATGAAATTGTGTTAGATCAAACTGGTCCTATAATCACTTTATTACATATAGAGTAATGAAAAACGAAAGTATTTTCGTCCTGGGATTATTAAAGTATTTCTGATTCTGATTCCTCGTTGATGGGTCAGGTGCTTGAAAGAGCTCCTGTTTGTCGCTGAATGTGTGCATTGATGACTGAAAGACATCTTCTGCCTCCATATATCTGTCGGTAACAGTTTGGTGAATTCATGTTAATGGGTATTTAAAGACATTTCAGTTAGTGGGGAAAATTGAAAAAAAAAAAAAGTAGTCAATCAAAACTTTTGTGACCCCCATGCAGTACCTCTATTGACCCCCTAGGGGTCGCGTACCCCCTGTTGAAGACCTCTTCTCTAGAGTAAAAAAAAAAATAAAAATGTAAAAACAAAATTAACAATTAACTTAAACAAATTGAAGCTAAACAATTCTCTAAGTCCAAACAAAACCCAGAACATCTCCCCTCCCTTTGGGTTTCCTTTATGAGGCTGATTGGAAACACCAGGTCCCTGTGAGCACTGCTCATGGGGGCGCTGCCATGGCAACGCCTGACCAGGTGACCTCAAAGAAAAAGAGAGCAGTGAGAACAGAAAAGAAATATGTTACAACAATAAAGACAAAGACTTTGACCTTCCCCCAATAACTAAACATTTTTAAAATAAAAAAAATGCCTGTTTGCCACACCAATTAGTGAGGGGGTGAATCCCTCACAGCTCCATTTATTTTATTTTTTTTTCACTTTCAGATAAGCCTTTTTTTCAACTTCAAAGCTTGGCCCCAATTTTGCACAGGGGGTGTAGTTTCAAAGGAGAGAAGCGTAGAATCGTGACTGACAGTCCTTAAGAAGAAACAAGATGCTCTTTAGCTATGTTGCCTTCAGGAAACATAAGTACTGCGAAAACACTGTTCAAACTCTTAGAGGTATAGACAATTTTTTTAAATATTTGAATATAAATATTGATCAGTTTCACTGTTTTACTTTGTTGATTTAACATTTGGTAAAAAGGTTGAAAGTAAGGTTAGTTTTTTTTTATTAGTCTCATTTGTCATTTGAAGCAAAAACACAACTCATAAGCATTATCTTTTTAAATTATGGTGACATTTTAAATATCCAATTCAATTCAGTTTATTTATATAGCACCAATTCAGAGCACATGTCATCTCAAGGCAATTTACAGATACAATTCAACCAGATCATACAGTCAGATTGGTTCAAAGTTTCCTATTTAAGGAAAACCAGTTGATTGCATCAACTCATTTGCTCAAATGCAATCCCTCACACTAAGCATGTTTATAAGACAGTGGAGAGGAAAAACTCCCTTTTAACAGGAAGAAACCTCCAGCAAAACCAGGCTCAGTGTGAGCGGCCATCTGCCGAAGCAAACTGGGCTTCAAGGAGACAGAAGCAGAGATACAAAAAGCAACTGTCAACCAGCTCCACAGGCGGCCCCGTCCAGGAAACACACAGCCAGGCAGACGAGAGAAACATCTCGTCTCGAGAAACATCTATAAACAAAGGTGTTGATGCAGTAGCACAGCTGACATTTCTCCCCAGGATGGAGTCACAGCCAAACAGGAACAGACCAGATGAAGCTACTAAGCAACTAAAGCAGATAGAGCATAACGTTAGAGATTGAACTAACAAATACTGAAGAATGGGAGAATAGAGACAGAATGATGAAAAAGGGGTCCCTATGTCTTTTTATTTATTCGTTCATTTGATAGGGACAAGTATGTTTCATGCATCATGTCACACACTACAACATTTTAGCTAAGGCTAATTCTCAATGTCTGTCCCCAGTTAGGCTTTTACACAAACACAGTGACACAGTTACACAAGAACAACAGAGCAAATTACACATTAAAACATCACAGAAATAAAATCAGGTCAGTTAGGTTATTAA